ATTGCTTGGTTGACACATTCATTCTTCAGTATGATGTTCTTTAATCTCCATATATTTGGAGGCTCTCCAGGCTTTTTGTTGTGGTTGATTTCATGTTTCATAGTATTGTGATCTGAAAATATGCATGGTATGATCTCAGTCTTTTTATACTTGTTGAGAGCTGTTTTGTGACCCAGTATATGATCTATTTTGGAGAATGTTCCATATGCACTTGAGAAAAATATGTATTCTACTGCTTTGGGATGAAAAGTTCTGAGTATATCTGTTTAAATCCATTTAGTCCAATGAGTCATTCCGAGCTGTTGTTTCCTTACTGATTTTCATCCTAAATGATCCTTCTGTTGTTGTAAGTGAAGTATTAAAGTCTCTGACAATCACAGTATTTATTCATGTTTGTGATTAATTGACATATATATTGGTGTCTTCAAGTTGGGCGCAGAAACATTTTCAATTGTTTGCTCTTCTAGATGGATAGACCTCTTAATTGTGATATAATACCCTTCTTCATCTCTTGTTACTGTTTCGTCTTAAAATCTAATTTATCTGATACAAGTATGGCTACTCTGGCTTTCTGTTGTCATCCAGTAGCATGATGATGGTTCTCCATCCCCTCACTTTCAATCTGCAGCTGTTCTCAGGTCTAAAATGAGTCTCATGTAGGCAGCATATAGATGGATCATGTTTTTGATCCATTCTGATACCGTATGTCATTTGATTGAAGTATGTGGTCCTTTTACATTCAGAGTGATTAACAAAAAATGTGGATTTAGTATCATTGTGTTATATGTAGGTTTCTGGATTTAGTGTCATTGTGTTTATCTGTAGGTTTCATGCTTGTGGTGATGTCTCTGGTCCTTTGTAGTATTTGCTGCTTTCCACTCACAGAGTCTCCCTTAGAATCTCTTGTAGGGCTGGTTTAGTGGTCATGAACTCCTTTAGTTTTTATTTGTCTGGGAAAGGCTTTATCTCTCCTTCTGTTCTGAATGACTGCCTTGTCAGGTAAAGGATTCTTGTCTGCATATTTTTCCTATTCAACACATTTAATGTTTCCTGCCACTCTATTCTGACCTCCGATGTTTCACTGGACAAGGCTGCTACTGCTCTTATGTGTCTACCCTTTTAGATTAAGACCTGTTTGTCCCTTGAGGTGTTCAGAATTCTCTCTTTGTCTTTGTATTTTGCCACTATGATATGCCATCTCACTATGATATGCCATCTCACTATAATATGTCCTGGTGTTGACCTGTTTTTGTTGATTTTGAAGGGAGTTCTCTGTACATCTTAGACGTGGATGGTTGTTTCCTTCCCCAGATTAAGGAAGTTCTCAGCTATAATTTGTTCAAATAAATTTTCTGCCCTTTTTTCTCTCACTTCTTCTGGAACTCCTGTGATATAGATATTATTTCATTTCATTGAATCACTTAGGTCTTTTATTTCCCTTTGTTGTCTAGTAATTTCCTTCTTATTTTCAGCTTCATTTTCCATAATTTTATCTTCTAGTTCATCTATTCTTTCTTCTGCTTCTTCCATCCTCGATGTTACTGCATATGTTTATTTTGAGTCTCATTAATAGCATTTCTTGATTCATTGTGTCTATTTCTTAGGTCTTTAATCTCTGCAGCAATAGATTCTCTGCTGTTCTCTATGCTTTTTTCAAGCCCAGCCATTAGTCTTATGACTGGTATTCTAAATTCTTGTTCAGATATGTTGTTCATATCTGGTTTGAGCAATTTTCTGGCTATCATTTTTCCTGGAATTTCTTTTCAGGAAAATTCCATTTCATCAGTTTTGCTAAGTTTCTGTCTTTATGTGTTTTAATAGTTTGTTATATGTCCTGCACCTGTGAAAACTACTATATTAAAAAGCGGTCATACAGTGCCCAGGGCCTGGCCCTTCAGGAATTATTTTTGGAGTATGTTGCTTGCACTTTGTTGTTGCATATGTGGCTGCTCTACCCCACTGGTCTATCTTCTACAAAGCTGCTTCTTACTCATACTGGTCGATTGTATAGACAATTGTTAGACAAGTCAAAGAAACTATAAGGGTTAATCTAGTGAGAGTAAAAGAAAAATAAAGATGGAGATAATAGAAAAGGTGTAAAAAGAATAGAGTAAAAATACCAGATTAAACTCACACACAAACAGAAAGAAAGCAAAAAAGAAAAAATACGTATATATCTATATATATACCAAAAATCAAATCAAAAAATTTAAGCCTGACTTCCAAAGTAAAAAATGAAGAGGTAAAAAGAAAAATATAGAAAAGAGCAGAGAATGAAAAAAGAAGAAGAAAAGGGTAACAGAGTAACATACAATACCGCAGGATAGTTGTCTGTTCATACCTGGGACAGGTGGCCGTGCTGGTCTGGAGGAGAGGCCCTCTGGTTTACCCAGTATCAGTTCCAATCCAGTAGATAAGCAGTTGCCATGCACTGAGGAGTGGACTTTTGTGTAAGCGGGTCAGCCACCACAGGGGGCCACTATTCTGTTCCCTGAAACCTCACCATGTTGGTGATGGGGATAAAAATGGCAACACCCCAATCTCTCCTCCCTAGACTGGGTGTCTTAAGCCATACTGTTCAGGCAGCCTTCACAGAGTAGCACGAGCAGGTGGCTTGCCCTGTCCCACAGTTCCCCCATGCCTCTCAGGTGCTAGGCTGGGATTCAAAACCTGATGTCTTCAAGTACCCAGAATCAGTTCTAGGATAATGCTGCTCCGCCCTGCCCATTTGGCTGGCATATGCAGGGTCTTTTAACCTTGGGTAGGCAATATACCCTCTTCTACAGTACTCAAGGGAGGAGACTATTTTCTCCTAGTGTGCCCCTGAGTTTGGGTACCACATTGGGGCTAACTCACTTCCTCACAGGCACATGCACACAGAAATCTACAGATTTCTTCTGTAGAATGGCACACTATTTGAAAACTCCAGTTTTAAAGTCCTAAGGCTGTACACAGAGTAGACTAGCACTCTCCATATATTTCTCATTTCCAGTCTGTAGTCTGTCTGGAGAGGTTTTCCTCTTATCCTAACATAATATTGCAGTCCACAGCTTCTCTTTCTCTCTCTTTTCTTTCCACAGAAGGGAATCCCTCCCCTTGGGCTATTGATGTTTTATCTCCCCCAATTCTCATACACATACCTCTGTCCTGCCAAGCTGTCTCCTTCTACCTGTGGTGATTTTTCTGTCACTCTGCAGATAGATTTCTTGGGTGTTCCAGGTGTTCTGACCTCAGTACAGCTGTTTGAGGACTGAGGGAAATCTCATTCCCTCTACTTCTCCACCACCTTAACTCCTAATTGATACCCTTTGAAACACTTAATAGGTGAATAACCAAAGTTGTTCTGAAATCAGACCATGGGGGTTGAAATCTCTCTTTTACAATTTTAACAGCAATTTATTTGAGTTCTTTATGTCCAAACAATGAAGTTTCCCCAAGGTAGGATGATTGTTAAATGACACTCATCTTGATGTATCATAATGAAATTCATCCAAATATAAAGGGAAAATAATTTAACACTTCAAAAAGTAGTGGAGAAAAATACTAGAAGGTCACTTAAAAGGAACAAGACTAAATGAGCATTTTGATCTCAACATTGGAAGCTTCAGAAATGTGGTTAAAAAATTTATCAATGAGAGCTATGGAATGTCGGCAAAGACTATCTAGAGAAGGTATCATAACAAATCTTTATTAAAGAAAAACATTAGTGATTCAAAGTGTATAATCCACATAATAAGTCTGCTGAAACTACTGGCACCTTTCTCTAATTAAACAAAACAGAAAATGCATCAGTGTAATTAAGAAGGATGAAGATGATAATGAATATGTGGTGTGTTGTGTGAGTGTGTGTCTGTTAGAACTTCTACTCATGTGTTTCACAAGAGTTGTAAATAATATCATTTTATGGGGAAAAAACTAATGCTAGTCTAGTATTAGAAGTACTAGATTATTCCTAAACCATCCAATGAAAGGAAACATAACTCTGATACATATGTCAAAAATATTCAATATACATGAGTGACTCAATAAAATGCAATTATATTATACCTCAATTGAAATATGACATTCTGGTCTTTAAAAAAATTTGGCCTATGCTTGCATTAAAAGTTCACTTTTATTCAAAAATATATTATGACATATATGGCATATTTATAAACACCTCATATGTGATATATACATATTTTAACATGTCACATTATATATTATGTATATATAACATAGGTGTGTCATATATATCACATATTTACTATGACATTTTATGTATGACATTTTAAAACACCTCATACATGTATGATATATGTCCTATTTTGAAACACCTCATTCTCCAGTTGAAATTAGAAATAACAATGAAATGTTTACCAGAGTCTTAACTATTTGGATATTAAGAAATAGTCCTAACTCATTTCTCTGATTAAATAAAAGAGAAAACTTTCCTTGATTATTGGTTTGAGGCATTAATAAGAATTTTATTTTTCTCTGTAAAATAAAATATTTGAATAAATGGAAAAGTTAATGAATGTTAATCGAAGAAAAAATATCCTACGATATTCCTACATTGACTTGATCTGATAAGAAAAGGCAGGGTTCTGATTTCTGATGAGAATAGAAAAGAAAAAAAACCAAGAAGATAGATGATCAGAGCAATAAAATAAATACTTTGAATGCTTAACCACGTTGCTTATTTAATGAACCAGAGCTAAGATATACATAGTCAATGAGAATTCATAAAATAGATCTACAGAGTTTTGTTCCTCAAGAGTCTTCATGCAAGTTTATATATCATAGGACACACAAGATATGATTTTAGCTTCATTAGCAATAATTTCATCGCATATCGCAGTCATCTGAAATTTACAACTTGTCCGAGAGAACCTGATGTAATCAGTGAAAGAATGCTAAAAAGAGGATAGAATTCACCAATGAAACAGTTCATTTCCAATTTGATTTTTTATTAAGGTAAACATTATTTATACTGCTTTTGTTTGTTTTGTTCTTCCAAGGGAATCGTTGTGATTTTCCAAAAATAAAACATGGTAGTCTATACTATGAATCTTACTATAGACGAGACTTTCCAGTACGTGTAGGAAAAAGATATTGGTATTCCTGTCATCCCAATTTTGAGACTGTTTCAAAAGAACGCTGGCAATATATTTATTGTACACAAGAAGGATGGTCACCAGAAGTACCATGCCGCAGTGAGTAAACCTTTTTATAATTACATTTGTATAAATATTTCACATACTGGAGAGAGAAACCATATGAATGACTACAATTAAGCCTATTTTGACAAAAGAAGGCAAAGGGATGAATTTTCTGAGTAAAACTACCAATATAAGATTTTCTTTTTATGAGGAGCTCTTCCTAAAATCACATTAAGGATAAACTTAGAGGCTTTAGGAAAACACCTGTATCGTTTACATGTATCTTAATTATAAATACTAAGGATAAATCATATTGAATATCGATTATTTTCTTTTTCAATGTTTGGCAGAAGCTTTATTTTAGGATACTTAGGCATTATAGTTTAAATGTTGTACAAATAATTTTCAATTTCCTATTTTCACTGAATTTATAGGTTTAAAATTTTTGTTCAATATTTATATGATTTTTAGGACAATGTATTTTCAGTTATTTGAAAAATGGAAATTCTCCAAAACAAGCAAGAAAATACGTACAAGGTGAATCTGTAACAGTTGACTGCAAATCTGGCCACAGTCTTCAAAATGAGCAGACTACGATGACATGTACAGAGGATGACTGGTTCCCTCCTCCTGAGTGTATTCCTCTCAGTAAGTAAATGGTCTGAGATCCCAGTATATTTATGATGGATCTTATTTCCGCCAATGAATCTACTTAGTTTTATTTTTTCCATGTGTGTATGAGTGAATATACAAATTTCCTGATACATATATAGCAAAATAAATGTCTAATAGTAGACTTTAGTCAAAAAAACAATCATGGAACTACAAAGAAGAAACCTGTAATAATAGGGTGACGCCAGCAGTGGAAGGAGGAAGATGTGGCGGAGTAGGAGGACCTGAGGCTTGCCTCATCCTATGCAGATAACTATCAAATCATCCTAAATACCCCCGAGACTGACCTGAAGACTGGCAGAACAGATTCCACAATTAAAGGGGCAGAACAGGCTACATCAAAGAAGAAGATGTACAGAGATGCAGGTTTTTCTCCTAAACTGAGAAGAAATGGACTGTGGCCACTGAGGTGGGAAGGGTACCCCCTTCCCTAATGGTACCCTCAACATTGTGCATATGGACTATTGGCCAGCTCCGTGTATATGCCCCAAAAGTAGTGAATGGAGGAGTTTTCAGATGGCTAGTAAGCATGCGTAGAAATCGAAACTGACTCCACAGATATAGTAAAAAGAATGTACTTGATCGTTCAGCAATACCTCCAGGAAATCAAACAGAAAGCTGTCAGGACCCCGACTGGCTTTGCAGGACTGAAAAAAGGCATACCATCCAAAAATTCCCTCTTACATGGTAGTAAGACATAGGGAACAGATGTATTCTTTAAAAACCCTCAGAATCCCTAACAAGTATGACAAAGTATTTGTCTCCCAAAGTCCTTCAGGAAAGACCAAAAGAAGTGAGACCCTCTTGAAATGCAAAGACAACAATGCAAGACTTTAAGAAACATGAAAAATCAAGGAAACATGACACAACCAAAGGAACAAAACACTTTTCCAATAACTTACCCTAAATAATGAAGATTTATAATTTTCTTGATCAAGAATTCAAAACAGTAGCTTTACGGAAATTCAATGAGCTATAAGAAAACACAGAAAGAAAACCCAAAGAAATGAGGAAAACAAAGAGGTAGAAATTATAAAAAGAACCACCCAGAAATTCTGGAACTGAAGAATATAATGAATGAAATGAAAAATACAAGAAAAGGCATCAACAGCAGATCTTATCAAGCAGAAGAAAGAATCTGTGAAGTAGAAGAGAGGTCATTTGAAGTCTCCTAGTCAGAGGAGAACAAAGGAGAAAGAATTACAGAGGAGAGAGAACCTATAAGAATAATGGGAGACTGTCAGAAAAGATATTGTAGGCATTATGTGAGTCCCAAAAGAGGAAGAGATGGAGAAAGAGACAGGAAGTTTAGTTAAGGAAATAATGGTTATGAACTTATCAATTTGGGAAGAGCTATGGACTATCAAAATCAAGAAGCTGATTAATTCCCCCAAACAGATTCAACCCAAAGATATCGTCTCTAAGACACATTACAATAAAACTGGCTAAACCCAAAGAAAAATAATTTTGAATGCAGCAAGAGAGAAAAAAATGTGTCACACACAAAGGCAGTTCTATAAGAGATGTTTATAGTGATAAATGCCTATAGTAAGGAAAAGAAATGATCTCAAATAGACAACTTAACTTTACATATCCAAAAACTAAAAACAAGGGGGAACCTGGGTGGCTCAGTTGGGTGAGCACCCAACTTCTAATTTTGAGTCAGATGATGATCCCAGGGTCACGGACTCAAGCCCTGCATTGGGCTCTACCCTTGAGGGTAGAGCCTGCTTAAGATTCTGTATCTCCATCTGCCCCTCCCTTCCCCCCAACTTGTACTCTATCTGTCTCTCTCTCAAGTAAATAAAATTTAAAAAGTTTATTTAAAAAACAGTAAAAAGTAGAACAACTAAGCCTGTAATTAACAAAGTATGAAATAACAAATCAGAGAAAAAATATATGAAATAAAGACCAAAATGGTCAACAACAGTAATACCTATTTTTTTTTCAAAACAAATAATCTTGACAAGCCTAAATTGGTTAAGATAAAAGAGAGATCAAAAAAATAACAGGAGAAATTAAATGGGAAACATTCAAGTGATGCCAGGGAAATCCAGATGTTCATAAGAGACAACCATTAACAGTTACACACCAACAAATTGGATAACTTAAGGAAATTGATAAATTCGTGGATATAGAAAACTTACAAAGATAAAATCATTAAGAATAGAAAATCTGAACAATAACAAGGAACAAGACTGAATCAGTAACTTAAAATATCTCTGCAAAGAAAAGTCTGGGAACAGAAGTTTTCATTGGTAATTTAAAGAAGAATTAATACCAATTCTTCTCAAACCATTCCAAAAACTTGAAAGAGGGTAAGAGGCACTTCCAAACCCACTTTACAAGATCAGCATTACTTTATACCACAGCCAGACCAGGACACTACCAAAACACCAAAATTGTAGGCCAAATCACTGATAAACATAAATATTAGAAATACTCAACAAAATGTTAGCAAAGTGAACTCAACAGCACATTAAAAGATTCATACACCATGATGAAGTTGGGTTTATCGATAGGACTGAAGGATGGTTCATCAGATGCAAATCAGTAATGTGATATACCACATTAACAAAGGGTAAAAATCATATAATCAGATAGTTACTAAAAAAGCCTTTGACACAATTCAACATCCATTTATGATGAAAACTCTCAACAATTGAGTATTAAAGAAATGTACATCAACATAATAAAAACCATAAATAAGGAGCCCATAACTAACATCATAGTTGAGAATGAAAAGCTTTCAGCTTTTCAAGGATCAGGAAAAAGACACGCAATTTCACCACTTTGGACAGAAGGAAATAAAAGGTACTCAAA